AATACAGCATTTCAAAAATATTACGCCTCTGTCACTATGTCACCATATTACTAATCTCAGGTATGATCACAAATATTAAATATTAGTCAATACTGTATTAGTAAATGTTTGTGCATGATTCATTTTACATATAAGATGAAACTGTTGTAAAATTTCTGTATTTACCTGCATCACAGTAACAGCACCGTATGTGACAGCAGTCCAGTATATAGATCCAACAACTACACCCGCAGCTACAAAGGGGCACACCTTATATATCACAACATCCACAGCATCCAACAAGATAACCACTGGCCCTAAATCAAACACAAATGCTGGTAGGTTAGATGTGAAAAGTTGTCTTCCTGTTACATAACCTATACACTGTCAGACAAGACTCCAAAATTTTTTCTTTATGGCTCCTTTCTCAAAAGCAAGCATAAATAAGATATAAATTCTGAGCAGAAAATGTCATGTGGGTATGTGCTAAAGAACGTGATTATTACATCATAAAGTTGTTCCAAACAAAAAATCCAGAAGGCCAGAGCCAAAGTTTGAATGGTTATAGAATCCATAATGTTTAATGTTTGTTAATCCTGAATTTATATTTTTGTGCAAAGAAAGTGTCCCTGAATAAGACTTACCCATATGAGGGAACACAATAATGTACTGTGTGTTACATTGTGGACATGACACTTTTTCTGATGGGTTTCCTTTCTGTTTTTCATCCACCCAACGCTGAATGCAAGGTTGATGTACCTAAAAGAACAAGGAAAGTCAGGTATAATGACAGCTCTTTTGTTGATCATTTACATTCACCTTTAAACCCTAATACTCTATCTAACCTCAGTAAATACAAAAAGGAGATTACTATACTGGAATTAAGCTATTCAGTACTCTTCCAACCACTATAAAAAGTCTGACAATATAAACAAGTTTTTAGCTAGCACTAACAAAATTACACCTATCTCACTACAACAAAAAATTGTCAGCTATTATAAATATATTTAAGCAACAGTGGGTATGCCTTCTTGTGTAATTATTTTAGTGGTAATACTGTAGTTCACTGTAAATTACTGTCATAACTATGTAATTTATATTTGTATTAGAAACAAGAATTGAATATGACCCATTCTACATCCTTAGTTTTGGCCTATAAAGGATCTAAGAAATGCAAATAAATTTTGATTTACTTAATTATGGGAAGAAAAATGAAAAAAAGAAAAAGGTTATAATATCAAAGTGTGTGGCAGAAGAAACAGAAGTGTGTTCAAACTGCCTAACTTCATTTCAAAGTTATATATGACCTAAGAATTAAATTCTATAACAGACACCTCTCATCAAACAAACATACCCACTTTGTTGTTCCTCGACAATTGCATGGCTGAACCCAAGCAACCGACGTATCATCCTCATCAGTGGCAAAGCAAACCCAACAGTACCGTTTATTATCTTCTACAATTTGAAAGGTATCATCTTCTGTCACACCTTCATTTTTTTGTGGTATGTTCTGTGCACCTTCTGTCACATCAGCATTTGTTTGAGATGTGTTCTGTGTATCTTCTTTTATCCTGGTTTCATCTGTCTGATATGTGTTTTGGGTAGCTTTATCAGCCATCTCAAAAATCCATTACTAGTGCAAATCAAAAACAAATTCAAATGAGATCTATCATCTGCAACACAAACAACATAACCTCTTTTATCTCCCAATTTGATGCAATACCTAAATATTTACATGCATACCCGTAAGTTAATATTTGGTGACATAATTTCAATCAAGCTTTAATTACTATACACCATACATCAAATCATTCAGTTATTTGATGTGGCCTAATTAATGTGATACAAAATATACCAACATTTTCAACCCGTTTAAAAAGTTAATTTTGTGCAACGAAAAATGTAATTTTCCTGGCAACCGTTGAAATCATAACAAAATAGTTCTTCACCTTTCTGAAGACCAAATTAAATAATTTTACCTTTTACGAAAAAAAACAAGCCAACACCAAATCTCAACGTCAAGACCAACAGCCACACTAACATCACCCAATTAATTCTACGTTAGAAGTTCACAACGTCATGCAGCACAGAACATTACAATACATTGTGCTTCCATCTATTATCAGTAATACTACTACAAAACGACCTGTCTGTAACAATTGGTATTAATTCACTGTAGTTGCCACTGTCAAGAGCTCAATCGGTAACAACGTTAATTTTAACTTAACTTCAGTTGTTTCTCACTATCCGAAATTGATTGTTTACTTTTACAAATCTCAGGGTGACTGTGTTCTGGTACATAACACCATGTAGTGTGGTAAAAATTTACAAACGTTTCGGGGTGTTTGCCCAATGATGGAGGTAATGAAAAAACATCAGTAAATA